TTGTTTGACTTAGGATGTAATATCCGTTACGAACATCAAATACCAAATTTGAAACGATTCCAGTAAACAATGTCGCTAAAATCATCAAAATACCGAATATCGGGGGGTACCGTTATATGGGGGCTACACGAAGGCGTGGACCTGCACAGATAATTTTCTGTCTTAGGTTTTAGTATCTATTACGAACTTCAAATGCCAAATTTGAAACAATTCCGGTGAATAATGTCGGTAAAATCATCAAAATACCGAATATCGGGAGGTACCGTTATATAGGGGCTATATGAGAACTTGGACCTACATGGCCCATTTACGAACTTAACCTGCCTACTGGCAAAGTATACATGTGTGCAAAATTTTAGCCTTCTATCTCAGTTTGTTCGAAAGATAGCGTGATTACAACAGACAGACAGACAGACGGACAGACAGACAGACGGACAGACACACAGACAGACAGACGGACATGGCTAAATCGTCTTAGAATTTTACGCTGATCAAGAATATATATACTTTGTTGGGTCTGACATGAGTATTTCGAGGAGTTACAAACGGAATGACAAAATTAATACACCCTCCATAGTATGGTGGAGGGTATAAAAATAATTGAGAGGTAAATGTTAAATTAATAGAATTTGCTCTTTTCAATAAAAATACAACAACTAAATTGTCATGAGTTTTAAAAGCCCACGATAATACAAATTGTGCTGCATTAGTCTACCTTGGAACTGGATTCTCTCGCTATTGCTAATTAACGGAAAGAAAGTAATGAGCGTGAATCTAATTCTAACCAGTCTGATATGTACTTAATCTGTGAGTTCTCGTTTAAACTATAAGAACCTACTTCAGTAGTAGGATTATCTACCTCATTTTTTGGATTACCGTCAAATATCGGTAAAATTAACGCAAAAGTTGACAGTACTGTTGCTATGGACAAAATTATATAAGGCAATCTCATGCTAACATATGATATAGAATTTTTTCATAATATTTCATAAACATGCAATTTTCAAACTGAAAAGGTCATCCTTATAATTGAACGCATTACATGAGTCCGGTGACAACAAAAAATGTCAAATTGTCTACGGTTTGAAATTCCCGACTTTTATACACTATTAAAGGAAATAATAATATATCGCGAGAACAACGCTTATCGCAAAAATACAATTTAACCTTTACCTATTAAGTGGTCCAATACATTTTTAGCGTATTTATATCAATAGACATATTCGTATATAAAAACCGTAAATAAAAGTCAAAAGTCGGACGTGGACGACTATATGATACCCAACTACACTATACCTATTTAGTAGAGCTTCGGTAACAAAATAATTTATATATAATGTATACCACCTACCAACATTTGGCGTTAGAGCAGTTATAATTTGGTTTCAGAGGGAACTAATGTATGGGAGACATTTCCAATTCTGAATCGATTTTCACTAAATTTGACGGATACATATCACTTCGAGTAGGATTATAAAAAAATATATATCGCAGCCAAGTTCGACCAAATAGAAACATATCTTCCGAAATTCACTCCATTTGGACAGATTTTAGCCATTATTTGCACAGTAAACTCGAAATCGGATTAAGGATATACAGGGTGATATGAAAAAAACTGCAACAAACTTCAGACTACTGTCATTTCAAAGCCACTCGCCGACAGCTGTTAAAATTATTCCAGTGACAGTTCATCATATTGTTTACAAGGGTTCAAAAGCATTTTTTAATTTTCCAGAAAAAAAGTTATTCGTGACGGTATTCAAGCGTGATAGTGTAATTTCTTCATATTTGTCTAAAAAACCACAAGTGGCACTCCAGCATTTAAATGTGAATAAATCTTTTATGTCTCGTACCATCGCTCATTACCGTGATACTGGTAGCGTAGCCTGACCTCAAAACGCAAGAAAACAGCAACATCAGCAGAAATGGTTCGAAATGTAAAGAAGCGAGTACAACGAAAGCCACGTGGCGGAAAATGGTTCGTGAGCTGAACTTATCGCAATATTCCATTCGGCAAATATTGAAAAATGAGCTCAGGGTAAAGCCATTGAAATTCTAAAAAGTGCAAGAACTTACACCGCAACAAAAAGCAATATACTCAAAAGAGTTGCATTGTTTGGCCGAAGGTGCTGAACTGCCAAATTTGGTTTTCTCCGATGAGAAAACATTCGTTGTCCAGCAGTTTGTAAACAAACAAAATGATCGTGTTTACTTGCCAAAGAGGTCAGCTGAAAATGTACACCTTCGGTTGGCCACCAGAACTCAAGCGCCGGCCATGGTGATGGTGTGGGTCGCCATAACAGCCGATGGTCGCTCTCCGCTCGTATTAATCGACCGTGGCATCAGAATGTATGCCGAATATTATTGCGAAATATTCTTGAGGGTGTATTAAAGCCTTTGGCACGAAAAACATTTTGGACATTCCAACAGGACTCAGCACCATCGCACTCAGCACGCTCCACCCAAGAATGATTACAAAATGAGCACGTTTCATTTCCAGCACACAATGGCCACCAAAATCTCCAAATACCAATCCGTTGGACTATTGTGTCTAGAGTATTTTGTAAAGTAAGGTTGGCACTAAAAAATACCAAAGTGTCGATCACCTCAAGCCAGCGCTTTCCGGGAATATACCGTAGAACGACATTCGGGCAGCGTGTGACGGTCATTGGACGTTTGAAGGTGCCAAAGGTGACCAATTCGAACAAATCTAAACTTATTCTAAAATTTGATGCTATTTCCGAGATTTTTTGCTTTGATTCAATAAAATTTAAAAAACAATGTAAAAATGATGGCGTTTGACTTTGTTGTTTGATGTTTCGCCACACGAACTAGAACCCATTATGACCTACATACAAATCCGTGGAAAAATGTGGCAAAAATCATCAAAATACCGAATATCGGGAGGTACCGTTATATGGCTGACCGATACATACAATGTTTCACTACCGGAGCTGAACCCATTATAACCTACAAATACCAATTTTTAAACAAATCCGTAAAAAAAATGTAGCGAATATCATTAAAATACCGAATCTCGGGAGGTACCGTTATACGGCGGCTACACCAAAACGTGGACTGATACAGGGTTGCCCATATTCGACGGACCCATGTTTTTTTTTGGGCCCATTCCAATCGACGAGGCTTGTCCGCAGGCGACATTCTTTGCGTCAATTGAATTTTGTACGGGAACAAATGCAAATCAATGCGAATAATCCGTTGTAAAGTGGACCGAGCCATGCCCAACTGCTGAGAACGACGTTTTTGGGATGTTCTTGGGGACCTCTCAACACTGGCTCGTACGGCAGCGATATTCTCGGCCGATCGCCTTGGTCGACTTTTATATGGCCTCTTCGGATTAGAAAGAGCCTCACCAGTCGAAAATTTTTCGTATAAACGCTTAATGGTGTTCTTAGAAGGCGCACTTCTCACATTTTTTAATGTTTTAAAAGCACGTTGAGTTTTCACAATTGACTTCTTCTGTTGAATGTAAATTTCAACTATTTCAGAGCACTCACGTGGCGTGTATTGGTTCATGGTAAAAATCTGCTTGGACTGACGCTTCAAACGCGGTATGTCATTCAGCGATGTGACATCTCTGTTAAAAGTTATGGCGCTGCCATATGGGTCCGTCGAATATGGGCAACCCGTGTATATCTCATTTTCAACAAATTCAATAACGTGGGCTATATCGTGCTTTAAACAGACAGACTGACTGACATTGTTAAATCGACTTAGAATTTGATGCTGAAGATTTATACTTTACAAGTATTTACGGATGTTACAAACGGAATGACAAAGTAATATACACTCCATTTCAAGGTGGTGGGTATAAAAATGGAACAAAAACCACCAAAATATATATTCGGAGTTATCGCCTTATGAGTGATATAAGAAATAACGGGTGTATTCCAGATGTTTTCTACCACAGGAGACATAACCCATTACAAACTCTACATACAGAATTTTAAACGATTCTCCCGAAACCTGTGGATAGGGTCATAGGAATACAGAAGTGTTATATGGGATCTATATAAAAACGTAAAACGTATTGTAGGGTTTAACATGAGTATTTCAAGGAGCTACAAACGGAATGACATAGTTAATATTCCCTCCCTAGAATAATAGCCAAGTTTACGCTTTTAGGTGGCAAACGGAAAGAATCTGAATCATTTTGCTGTGGTCTCATTTCTACGGATTAAGTCTTCGTTATGCATCAATGATGTGCTAAGAAGGATATTGTAGCCTCATGGAAAAAGCAGTTTTACACGACATGTCTTCTCATTGCATTTTTCCAATTTGTAGAAATCGAGTACAAATGGCCAAAAAAAAAAAAAAACTATTTATATTTTGTTTTTCAACGAAAATATTATCATGTGATAAATCTTGAATTAATAACCCATACATACGTCACATTTGTTTTTCTATATATGTGCCTTCTACTTTTTATAACTCTACTGTTCCCATTTCGTTCAACTCTCGCCATACTCTAATGTTCATCCATATACATACTCGTACTACACACAGTCTATTTATGCTACACCCTATGATTATACAGAATTTTGACGTAGCGTAGCATTTGATCTTTCTAAACATTCACGATAATTTGGTCGGAACAATTTATGGCTACTTTTTTTAGATCCCCCGCATATATTTGCAAACATAACTGACCTAGTTCACCTGATCGGTGCGTGATCAATGTGTGGGATACTATTCCGACGACGAATCTTATGGAATCATGTGTGATAAGTGTGTTCATCGAGATTATTTGGACAATCTTCCAGACATTGTTTTGAATATTTGGTTGAAAAGTTGTTGTTTTTTTTATAGCAAAGAAAATATGGCAAACAACTTTGTTTAGCCATAAACAATATGACAAGTTATTTTTTCTCTCTTTTTTTGCACAACTATATTTAGATTGTCCGAAGCAAAAATGATATGTTTAAATGAACACAGGGGAATGATTGGTATGATTTTAATAATCTGAAATCACATTTCAGGTGAGTGATACGATTTTCAACATCAAGGGGTTGAATACTCATACATATGTATGTATATATTAAAAATGAAAGCAGAGCAAAAGATTCCCTGGCGCCAATGGAAAAATACAATGTCTGATAGTTTTGAAGTTTGGACTTTAAGAAGAAGCATAAATAGAATTTGTTTGAAAAACGTGATTGAGATATGTTTGGCTACGTAAGTTTGTAAGTACGTATGTATGTATGCATGTATGTATAAGGGAATCAATAAAGGCAAATGTTATGTCAAAATAACCGAAACATTGTGTTGAGTTAAAGGCGAAGAATTTTTTAGTTATCTTCCAATTCGTAAATTAGAGAGAGAGAGAGAGAACAAGTTAGAAAATATCAATCAGTTTTGCCTACAGATGAATACCTTCAGCTAATGTCCGTTTATCAAAATCAATTTTGACTTGTGTTATGATTATTTAACTGTTGACCCCGGATGGTACTGAAGGAGTGGACCAATATTTTTCATTTCGTATCTGACCTAAGTCAGTTATAAATATTACAATGTGCCAGATTTTAACTATATCGACTATTTCCTTCACTCTATGTGTGATATGTTGTAATTTTTGGAAAATGTTGACATATGCGTGAGTTTCCTGATATAGCCTAAATTGGTCCAGATCGAAGTTCCAGATGTAGTCTAAATCGGTTCCATATATAGTCTACATCGGTCGACCACTTCGTCTAATACTCATAAAAATATTGGATGCAAAATTTAATGAAAATCTAACATTTTAGATTATTAAAATTGCAAATAATTTTATGCGAATAGTTGTTAATCAAAATTTCAGCTGTTTGTAAATAAGGAACCAGATGGAGTTCTGATCAAATCTCATATTGAGATAAAAATCAAGAATCACAATCACCATGTTATGATAAATATAGATATTGAAACTTGCGACCCTTTGTGGGGGAGGTATCAAAAGTAGTGGACCAATATATACCATCTTCACGCCAAATCTTGTGTTAGTAAAAATATTGAGATGTGTGAGAATTGATGAGAATCGAATGCTTATTTCGCATTTTATAAGAGTTATAATTATTAAAAAATTTCACCGTTTTTGGGGAAAATACCAAAAAGAATGATCCGATATACTCCATCTTCACAGCAGATATTGTGTTAGAAGAAATATGTGCCAAGTTTGAAAGTGATCGGAAGCTTTATCGCTTTTTATGAGCGACATGGTTCTTCAAAATGTTGGTCCGTTATGGAGGAGGTATCGAAATAAGCGGTCCCACATATATTCCATATACACGCATGATTTTGTTTTGATAAAAATATTGGGATGTGTGAAATTTTAAGATAATCGCTGGTTTATTTCGCATTTTGAAGTTTTCGCACCTGTCCTAGCACTGATAAAAATATTAAATTGTGTTCAATAAAATTTATGAAGTTTTGTGGGTTAGGTACCAGCAGGAGTGGACCGACATCGAGATGGGCGATGTCTCGCCCATCGATCTAAGTTAGATAAAAATATTAGTATGCACCAAGTTTGGATCAAATCAGATACTCCCTTCGAGCGTTAACGTGCGTACCAGCCAGTCAGACCGACGGACGGACAGACGGGCACTTCTGGATCGACTCCAAATGTCTTAAAACGGATTTGATCCAAAGGGTCTAAGACCGTTATTTTGATGATGCACGTTTTGGTCGTGTAAAATGATATCTACCATAGCCATATGGCTGAGGGTATAAAAATGGTCAATAGAAAAGTGACATTTCCAATTCATCAAATCAGAACATTCATCCAAATCTTGCAACATAAATCCGACAATTTCGAATCACATAGAAAAATGTATCGAAGTCATATCGATGTCTGAAACGAGATATATAATAGAACGCAATAAAAAGCAAGCCAATGATGTGTTCATTTTCGTAACCTCTAACTTCGGCATCACTATAATTAGCTTCGATCAGCCGTTTCAACTAACTTCCCAAAATGGACTGACTAGAATCTGAACTTCTGCAATACAACACGAAAGTGTTAATCGAAGAATCCGAATTAAGTAGTGGTGTCGGTTCGGGTCCACGTTTATTCGCTTTGGGACTTTTACATCACATTTTTGACCGTTTGTGGGGGAGGTACTTGATGGAGTGGACCAATATTATCCATTTTGGTACAAGGTTGGAGCAAAATCGGATTATCGTTTCTCTTTCTGTGCAAAAAATATTTTTTGAAAATTTCGACCTTTTGTGGGGGAAGGTATCAGAAGGAGTGAACCGATATATACCATCTTAACCCCAGATCTTGGGTTAATAAAAATATTGGGATGTGTGAATTTTGAAGGCAATTGGACTCTTACATAACGTTTTATAAGAGTTGTAATTATTTACAACTTTGACCGTTTGTGGGGGATGTACTTGATGAAGTGGACTGATATTGTCCATTTTCCTGACCTAGCATTGATACAAATATTAGAATATGCAAATTTGAATCAAAATCGGATTATCCTTCCTCTTATATTTTGTTTGAAAATATTGACATTTTGTGGGGGAGGTACCAGAAGGAGTGGACCGATATTGCCCATCTCCGAACACGATCTAAGTTTAACGATAATATTACGTTGTTCCAAGTATGGATCAAATCGGATACTCCCTTCGAAAGATTTCGTGCACACCAGCCAGACAGACGGACATACGGACGGACATCGCTAGATCGACTCCAAATGTTCTGAAACGGATTTGGTTCAAAGAGACCTAGGCTCTAAAACCGTTATTTCGATGAGGCACGTTTTGGCCGTATCAAATGATATATACCCTCTGCAGCCATATGGCTGAGGGTATACAAATGACACATTGGCGACAATGCTCTTCAACGTGATTGGTTTTGTTTCGTTTGTAACTTTTGGTTGAGAAAACACACATACATACAAACACAACAACGAGCGAAATCGAGAATTAAAGAATGCTCAATTTCTTCCACTCTCAGGAGTGCTTCCGCTCTAATGCGGCCCAGTTCCACTCTTGACTCGAATTCAATCGAGTTTTTCGGAGGTCTGTTATAAAGCGTTGTTTTCATTGCATAAAAATCTGGGGAGCAATTAAAAATATGTTATAAAGAAAATATGATTTATTCTAATAAAACTTAAATTTTTGTCTGTGAAGGTCCTCAACAATCCATATTCTTAAGGAAAGTACAATAAAGCCGTCGAATCAGTTTAACTAAACAAAAATATTATATTTTAATGAATTAATTTATTATTATTATTAATTATTCTTACAAAGAAATTATATGCCGACTGTTGGAACATGCCATACCGACAATTAGCAAGTGGTGCCGACTACTGGAAAAAAGCATTGTTTTAATAAAACTACAAATTTATGGAATTTAATAAAAAGTTATTAAAACTTTATTTATTATTGCAAAAACTGTACAAAATTTCGAATCTGAATAAATTAACTTTGTAATAATTGAAAAGTTCCACTCAGAATGGTGAGGATTAAAAACGCGAAAATCCTAAAAGTGACGACTACTGGTACACTTACCCTATTCAAACAAACAAAATGGATATTGCAAGTCGTTTATTTCATATTGAAGAACTCAATTATAAATTTATTTCACAAAATTAAATACAGATTCGTTTTGTGACTACCAGTTACTTTTCCAAAGAGCTTGTCTGAAAATGAATATATATGAAAGGAAAGGTGTAATAATGAGAACCTGATAATGTTAACTTTATCCTTAACTTTTCCTTAAGTAAGGGATAACTAAAGAAAATATATAAGAACTGGCCTATATATGTTGACTCAGTAGTATAAGATATATTAACTTCTTTGTCTTTGCTTTATCCCTGACTAAAAGTCCCTTGGATTTCTTCTGGGTATCTTCTTAAAACATTTTTTTTGTATTTCTTTTAAGTTACGTACAGACTTATACAAATTTTGTTATATTATTGTCGTTGCGACAAAGAATATGTTCAAATCTCTATCTTATAGGGTAAGAGCGCCTAAGGTCGGCATGTCCCAGTAGTCGGCAGTTTTGAAATTTAAACTTAAATAAATATGAATAGAGTTGACCATTAATAAGAATAGAATTTCATTAATTGCAAAAAAACGTCAACAGTGTTCTCTGCTCTCTTTCTTTAAAAAGACAATGAGCTCCGATCATTTATTACGAGAGAAAAACGGTTTTTGTCAGTTAGTGTCTTCCAACGCATGCGATAGTGCTTGTTTCTAAAGAAAAAATTAGTGGTGGTGTCAACTTAATAATCGATTTAAGTAAATTGAATTTAATACTTTTGGAATCAGATATATCTTATTATTAAAGTAAATAACAGTCTAAAGATCATTTTATAACTTAAAAAATTTACAAATAAAGCATTTTTTTGTTATATTATTTAATGCCGACATTGGGAACAGAAAAAATAGATTTGCCAGTAGTCGGCAGGGGGTGACGATTACTAGAAAAATATAATTTCACCAAAACTTGAGACAACTATTAAAAAATTATCAAAGAACTACACAAATAAAAAAATATTTTTATGTCGGCAGTTGTTTTTATTTGTGCTTTTTGACCAACTTTTCTAAATTAAGTAGGTTTTTTAAATCAGCTATTAGATCAATTCACAAATTCCAAATATAAGAAAGGTACTTTTTTCTTTTTTATTTAATCTCATTTTTATTTTAATTGAAAATCCATACGTTACCTATATTTGGTTTAGAATGATAATTAAATAAAACACTATTTAAAAACGAAATTAATTAATTGAACTGTGAATTAGTAATATAGCCTTGTTTTATATTATTAGAAATAAAAAAATACAAAATAATACTTTTTTTTACTGAAATACTATATGCCGACTACTGGCAAATAGACATGCCGAGCATTGGAAATGGTGCCGACTACTGGCAAAAAACTACTATTTCAGTAAAATTGCAAATTTTGCCAATTGTTGTTTATTATTGCGAAAAGTAAACAAAATTTGGAATCTGAACAACTTTATTTTTCTGCAATTGAAAGATTTCACTCAGAATGTTGAAAGATTGAAACATTGAAAATTCTAAAAGTGCCGACTTCTGGTACACTTACCCTACTTATTGAAAGTCTGTCACCATTAAATTGGTTTCATTCGTAATAAAGCTAGCGTAAAGTTTTTTCGGTGTAAAATCTACAATTTATATAAAAAAAAGCCAAATATGCTAAAAATATACATTTTCGTTTTTTTTTTTGTCCGAGATTCCCTCTATATGCATAGTAAATGTATTTACATTTATAGAAGAGTCTCCTTAAAAAATAATATTGAAA